GGACTTTGGAGTCTGTGTCCTTATGAATTAATTTTTGATCCCATATTTTTCGCTCTTCTCAAGAGCCACCTCTTACATGCTCCTCTCAGGTAGTGCTCACCCTTTCCTCCAATTACCTTCTTCTCTTTTCACTTATCTGGATGTGCCACACGCCCCCCCCAATATAACATAAGCTTGAAGGAACTTTTCACTGTTGGCTTTGTATCTAAAGGCACCTGCAGTGAAGGTGTAATTGAACTGAACTGAAGTTGGATGGGTTAGTGTGGTGGGTGAGGAGAAAGGCCAGACTGGTTTGTGGCTCTGGTTTGTGGAAGTCCTGAAATGGCATTGTGATGAGGACTGGCTTAGCATTGATCAGTCTGGAACAAATCCAGGGCATGGGATGATAAGTGTTCTGTACTTGCACATAGTCTGTAGACGCTTGTACATGTACCCACTGTCTCTCTGGATAGAAATGAGAGCTCTTTGAAGGCAGAGATTATTTCATTTAGGGTTTTGTATCACTCGTGCCTAGTAGTATCTGGCACCTATTAGACTCTAAATAAAAGTTTGTTGATTGATTATTAATTGATTATTGATTGATTCTAAGCCAAACAGAGGAAATGCCCTCTATCAATGAGATCTGAATCTTCTCTGAAGCTTACAATCTGTTTTCAGGTTCTAAGTGATTGAATAACTTGTCCAAGGTCACACACACACACACACACACACACACACACACACACAGAGTCACACTGACACTCACATGCACACAGCCAGTGTGTGTCAGAGGCCAAACCTGAACCCACGTCTTCCTGACTCAGAGGCCAGAGCTCTCTCACGCCAACCTGCCCCACCTATGATGATTACTATTTTTATAACATACAGATGAAGGCATAGGTGATGTGTTTACCCAGTTAGCAGATGGCCAAATCTGAAAGGAGGCATCCAAAAGTGGAAGAGGCCTCCTTAGGAGGCAGTGGGTGCCCCTTCAGTAGAGGCTGAAGCAAAGACTGGAGGACCACCTTTGGGGGAATGTTGTAGAGATTCTGTGCAGGAGATAATTAGAGTACATTCAAGGTGCTGCTGTATTATCATTATTATTATTATTATAGTTGTTGTCATTGGAATAAAAAAAATGTGCCAAAATATATCTCTGTTAAGTTTTATATCTACAAAATCAGCACTGGTCTGGGAGTCCGGAGACTTAGACTCCAATCTCACCTCCACTAACCATCTACCCCTCAGACCTTAGTCTCCTCCTTCATCAAAAGGGGATCTACTTGTCCCATCTACTCCTTGTAAAGAGTTGTGTTCTACAAGGTCTCTTCTGGCTGTACAATTCTAATAGGATCAAATATGATCCTTCACCAACTATAAATCACTACTTCTATCAGTAAGGGGGTACAGTTATTATTTTATCTTTTTATAATATATTACAAGACTCCTATCAAGAGGGATTTAAAAATCCTGCCTAGACCAAAGTGGACTTTGCTATTATGCATGAAATAATAATACAGAAGCATCCTACTGTCTGCAAACCTAATACATAATTAACCCAAACTTAGGAAACAAATCAAACTGTCAAGATTCTTCATCTGGGGTTTTTTCAAAGAGAGAACTTAAAGGCTGATCTTATTTTCATCTCCAGCCCACACATCCCTTTCCAGGCACATGATTAGTGTGTGAAGGAAGACCCACCTCATACACTGTTAGTTCAGTATTATAATGATGACGACGCCTGTTTTCTATTCACAAAATGCCCTGACCTCATCTCTTTGCTTTCCCCTTCCAATTAGCTAGAAGCCAGCCTGGCTGGGTTTGTGGATTGCCATTTTTGGCTTGTGGTCTCTCCCCTGCCCTAATTGAGGCTTCTGTGCCGTATAATGAATGTGTGTGCCCAACATCCTAAGAGCCTTTTATGACGAGGGTGAAGTATAACCCTCATTACTGACCAGGAACCCGCTAAAAAGTTCAGCATCAAGGACAGGCACTGTGCAAAGTACCAGACTTGACATCTGCTGGCTGGCTACTAGCTGGTACACTTCATCCCCTTTCTAACTTGTGCTCCTAAACCAAGCTTCTCCCAAGTGAGAGAGCCATTCTGGGGACCTCTACCACAAACAGCAGGAGGTGAATTCCCAAGGGCTCTTGATGGGTAGTGGGGCAGACACTGGATTGTCACCAGCTGAGAATCTAGACCTGTGGTTCTTAATCTTTGGGTATATCATGGACCCCTTTGGCAGGCTATTGAAGTCCATGCACTTCTTAGAATAACGTTTTGAAATGCATGAAATAAAACACATAGGATTTCAAAGGAGGAGCAAACTGGCCCAACTTGAGAAAATTAGGCAGCTCAAAACTGCCATTCCAATGGATATTGGGGAAGACAGAGAGAGAGACAGAGAGAGAGAGAGAGAGAGAGAGAGAGAGAGAGAGAGAGAGAGAGAGAGAGAGAGAGAGAGAGAGAGAGAAAGAAGAGAAGAGAAGAGAAGAGAAGAGAAGAGAAGAGAAGAGACAGACACACAGAGACAGAGAAAGAAAGACAAAGATAGAGACAGATGATACAGATTCATAGTTTTAGATCTAGAAAGGACCTCAGAGACCACTGATGCTTCATTTTACAGATCTAGGGAAATTTTTTTTTCTCTTTTTTGACTGGGTGGGAGGCACCCAGCCCAAGGAAACTTGAACTTGAAGATTTTCTAACCCACCTTTCTTATTTTGCAGAGGAGGAGGAGGAAGCTGAGGATCAGAGAGGGGAAGTGGCTTGTCTGAGGTCACACAGCAAGCAAGGAGCCTCTCAAAGTTGCCTCTTGGGATGCTCATGGATCTCCATCCCTAAGGATAAAGGGAGGACCAAGGGAAGAATAACCAGAGGAAGTCAACTCTGTAGATATGTGAGTACCTAGGACATGCCCAGTCTTGTGTTAGATGCCATGAGAGATGTCAAAGATGCCTTTCACGTCAGTTTCCTCATCTGTAAAATGAAGGAGTTGAGCTAAAGATGGCTTCTGAGTTCCCTTTCAATTCTAGATCTATGATCCTAGTGTCAGGAACAATAAAGCTCTGAAGGAGGTGAAGCTGGTGAAGAAAGCAAAGGATGAAAATGGGATCACAGACATCTTCTGCAAACTCTTGCTTCAAAATTTCTTCCAAGACACTTTTATTGAAATCTTCTGTTTTTATATTCCCTCCTCCCTCCCACTACTCACTGAGCTTTCCCTTGTACCTTTAAAAATATTTATTTTGTTAAATATTTTCAGATTACATTTTTAAAATTTAACATTTATTTTTTAAAAATTGAGTTCTGAATTCTCTCCCTTTCTCCCACCCCTTGAGAAAGTAAGCAATATGATATCGATTATACATGTGAAGTTATGCAAAACATATTTCCATATTAGTCATGTTGCAAAAGAAAACACACTAAAAAAAAGTCAAGAAAAATAAAGTGAAAAAGGTATGAAGAATTCATTAATTCTCTCCCTGGAGATGGATTTTTTTTTTTTTTGAGCTATCTCTTGGAACAAAGAATAAAAATGAGAAGTGGAGGGGGAAATCAATCAGGAAAAAACAAACAAAAATGCAAGACCCTTATTAGCACAATGGTTCGGAAACTTATGAGCTTTGTGACCTCGGGCAAATATTTTCAATGTTTGGGTTGAATTCAGTTTGCTCTCCCTGAAGAGGAATGGGTGGTCTCCATCAAGTCCCTTCTAGCTAGGATCCTACAGAATCCTGAGTGAGTCCTGAATAAAGGGAGGCTGGTCAGGAAATCTGAGAACAAGAAAGGTCCAGTTTAGAGCTATGAAGGACTTTTTAGAGATCATCCAGTCTTCTCGAAAACTGGTGTACTAACTCTTTTTTACAACATCGGTGTATTGGCACTTTTTATAATAACATCGGTGCATGACACTTTTTTGTAATAACTTCGGTGTATTGGCACTTTTTAACAATAACATCGGTGCAT